AAAAAAAAGTAATTTTCTGTTTTGTTTTATTCTTGGATCGGGCTTTAAAGGGTTAAAAAAATATATATTTTTATTTTATGTCTTAAAGTTCTTCTCATAGAAACAATCGTATTTTTTGTCTGGAGAGAGAAAGAGCTGCAGTTAATGCTTTATATGCACACAGGATGTTTATACAAAACAGTACGTAAATATTCTTATTTTAAACATTTAGAGCTTAAGAACACGATTAGACTGGAGCTAAGACCTGAATGTAAACATCTTTTAATCAGCAACATTTAAATGTAAAAAGCACATTAACTCAGATAATAAAACTGTTTTATTTAAACATGATATAGTTTTATGTAACTTATTGATGCATAGTAGCCTTTTAGACAGTTTTTCTCTCAATAGAAAATGCAAGGAAAATCTCAGAAGGAAGGCAACCAGGAAACGTCATTAACCAGGTTTTATTTTAGTTTTTTACAGCACTAGTGGCTCGTTTTTCTGACAGTAGGCTGAGAGGAAGGGGGGTATAAGAGAGGGGGAGAGAAATGCAGCAAAGGACAACAGGCCGGATCCGAGCCCGGGTCACCCACGTCAAGGACTAAGGCCTCTGTACATGAGTTGTGCGCGGTAACCGCTGCGCCACCCGCACTCCTGACATGTAGATCACTTCTAACGTCGACTGGTTTGCCTCTATAACTTTCTAGATTCTCTACAGTGCCATCCATACTGGGTTTTTATGTGTCATTTCCTTTCACATAAACATTTTTTTTTTAAATAACAGTGTGAGAATGAGGTTCTGGCAGAATTAAGGAATCTCTTTATGTGTAATCTGATCGTTGTTTCAGTAGTTTTTCATGTTCTGTAAAAATAAATGAATAAAACATGATCTGTGTAGTTTACAGGAGGTAACAAGGGCTGATCAGCCTCTCATGACCGCTTCCCGACCCGAAAATCAAACATGTTTTAAATTCAGTCGGCCGTGGTAAGGTGGCTGTGGAGAAATCCTGCTATTGAAGCTGTGAGCTGATTTACCAGAACCTGGAGCACTGCTCATGTGCAAACAAGGGAGTTCTTCTTCTTCTTCCTGACTGAAGAGTCTGACCAGGGCCATCTCTTAGGGCCGAGCCTGACGTGTGTTTTTTGGATGTCCAGTATGAGCAGGTAGATCACATTAGAGCATCGGGTCGCACAGTGTGAGAACAGACATCATGAGCTGTGAACTTTAAACCCTGCAGTTTTGTCGTATGGTTTGAGTTGTAGCTGTGTGCAAAGATTGTAAATATCACACAGTGTATGCCCGGATTAAGCTGTAGATTCCTCTCCCTATAAATACAGAATTCTCTGTTAAAAAATGCAGATCATTGTTTAACAGGATCCTCGTTTAAAGGATATGCAATGTTTGTTTTAAAAAAAGCTACTGTGTCTAACGGACCTACTGAATGATTTTTTTTTTTTAAGCACAAATCTATGTGAAAAATTGGACTAAATCAGTGAATAAAACAACTGATTGGCTGTAAGGAGACAGAGGACACTGAGTTCATTGAACAACACTGCTGACCAGGTTAGCTCTGGGGAGAATGTGGCTATGGTGACTGAAACAGACCTTGAGTAAACTCTCTTTGTGAAACAGAAAACTGAGTTTACTTGATTTCAGGCTTAGAAAAGTTGAGAGTTCTCAGTAAACCTGCTAAACAGACCCAGATCTCCACTCTGGACAATTTTCACAAAGACTGGTTCAATATGTGAATCAATTGTTGTGTTTTTGTTGATAGCGGTTCCGCTGAAATGTTTTCACAATGTGCTTCGTAAAAACATAACAATCTAAATAATTCATGTTAATTTTAACACTACAGAAAAATCAACTCCTTTTTTCAGCTGCTAATCTTATTCCTTAAATACCAGATATGGGGAAAGTCTTTCACACATTTTTTTTTTCTCCAGTTGGTCAGAAGTAATTTAAAAAAAATCTGTAACTTTTCAGCTTTTAACCCACAGATAAACACTGTTAGCTGTGAAAATAGAGAAAGTTGTGTACCCTAGTTCTTCTGCTATAAAAATGATCCGTCTCTCCAGAACAGCAGCAGCAAACACCTGCAGCACCTCCTCGTCTGTCAGGCAATCGAACAGCGTGCAAAAGTTGACGTGTTCCAGCCAAGAGTCCAAAGGTCGGGTCAGATGGATGATCTGTGGGAGAAAACATTGCAGTCAATAAAAAAATGGTCGACTCAAACCCCATCAGACCAGACGCATCGTTCTGGACAATTTAGCTAGGGTGCCACACACTTAACATGGCCGCTGACTGGAGGCGGCTGGCTTATTTAAAAAGATTATTGAACATTGAAGAAATACTACAAATATAGATGTGATTTTGGGAAAAAGGCTTTAGTAAAAGTCAATGGTTCCAGACGTGTGATAGCAGGGGGGGATCTGGTAGAAATGAATAAAATGAACCATTTATGAAGGAATGTCTTTATATATTGATGCTCCATTCTGTCACAAGGTAAAATAAACAGTTAAACTTAAAATAATGCTCCGGCTCAACCGGCTTCAGGCATTTTTAATTTTTCAATCACCTTTTTTTTTTTTTCAGATTCTTTATTTAGCTTAGTGTGGATGTTGCCTCAAAGTTCAACAACAATAGCTCCAAAACGTTGAAGTTTATCACACTGCCAGCCAGAATCATCACTGGAAATCGGTGGAGAAGCTAGTATTTTTATTAATGTCTCAAATTTCCTGATTACGAAGGCTGACTGTGAGGAGATGACGCGGTCTGCTGATGCGTTCTTTGTTATCCGAGAACCGAGCCAGAACTGAATCGCAACAATCCCTATTGATGAACTAGTAACATGTTAGCGCGGTTCGGTTGTGTCTGGCGCAGTCCGGTTCAGTTGTGCGTTTCCATTTACACTCAACAGTTATCTCGGTTTCCGTGCTCGGACCGATCTCGGCACAGTTTCAGGGTTCCTACAGCATAAGGCAAGACTTTTTAAGACTTTTTAATGCCACTTGAAATAAAAATTTAAGATCAAATTCACAAGAAACACACGAAAAACCTGCTATAATAACCCAAAGGTTTATTATAACATAAAGCACTGCACTAATGTTTCAAATTTTGAAAAGCTTCCCACACAGGAAGAAAGGTAAAAACAACAATTATTTAACTGAATTCACAAACTTTGTTTTAGCAGGGAACAAAACAAATCAGTTTTAAAGCCACAACATAACCAGAGCTAAGTCTTTTTTGCAGCTATTTTTCTTTGTATGGTTTTCTTAGTATGTTTGATTTGGTGATAAGTGGAGGCGTTGCAGAGACAAGGGTGGAACCAAACTGAGAAATACCGGCTGTTTCTCTGTAACTCCATTTTGACGCTTTGTGTTTCGCGCTTCGCATGTGCGACTCCACTGCCTTAATTCCCATCGTTCTGAGCTTGAATGACTTCTTGCACAAAATCCACTGAGCCTCATGTATGTTCCCTGGTTTTAGCCATGGAGAAAACTCTTGGCTACATTTACACTTGTTCATATTTTCCAGACAAAAAGTAAATGGCGTATCTCCCAAATGTCCCGGCCGCAACAGCGCTTTTATTGGTTCCGCTAACGGAACGGAACCAATAATGGCGAGCTGTTATTTTTTTTAAAATACAATTACAAAATGTCAATTTTAATGTTTTATTTAGGTTACAAAAATAAATCATAATAAAAAATAATCCTATTTAGGATGTTTTAAAAATTAAGACCTACGAAAGACTGATTTAAGACATTTTAAGACCAATTAAGGCCTTAGTTTTATTTTGAAGAATTCAATGCCTTTTAAGACTTTTTAAGGACCTGCGGGAACCCTGAGTTTCAAACAGGTAGAGTAAACGGGGCTATAGACTATTTCAGTTCCATTTTACCTGAACTACTGTACAACTAAATCATGAAAAAAATTGAACAGGCAGGCTTTAAAAGAATTCCAACACTTTAAATTCACTTATAAGTGAAAAAATATCGCTTCCATCAGTTCCTGCTCGGCTTTGGTTTGAATTTCCCCAATATTGCTTTGAATGCTGTGTAAGATATTGACTACTAGTTTCTCTCTCACACAACCATCAAAAAGTTCCTGCTACCATTCCTCTCATCTCTTACTTTGGATTTTTTTCTATGATTCTGTTTAAACTTTCTTGATGACAGCTTAATTGTTTTTATATTTCAGATATTTGAAGCTTCTTTGGTTGATTGCCATTTGTTACTACCGTATTATTTACGGTCCATGTTGGTTCTTCCTCTGAAAGCTGTTTTATGTATGTGGCTCAAATTGTGCCACACGAAAATTGATCAATAGATCGAATTGTGTGAAGTTAATTAAAGAAGATGCAGGTAAATGGGAGTATTGTCATCACTTGCTTGTCTCAGCATCGATCGGTAAATTGCATATTAGCAGCAGAGGCATATTGAGAAGCACAGGACCTGTGATTCTTCCTCTGGCTGTGGGGGCTGGTCACAGAGAGGAACGGTCAACATGAGTAAATACTGGAAATGGCTGTGAGCTGTTGAAACACGTTATGTGAGCTGAGGCAGAGAAGGGTTAATCTTCCACTGAGGTGGTGGTTGGGTAACAAGGACAGGTTCAGACACAGCGCTACACAAACACCCGCCTCCAAGATCTTATATAAAAGTCATACAGTAATCAGGTTTGATTGGAACTGTTCTGCAGAATTTCTCAATAAAAAACATTCTGTTTTTTATCTCTTGGCTTGTTTGCTTCCCATTTCTAAAGCTTGTTGCAGAGGGAGTTCCCTCATGCAATGCATATTTTAGGCGCTTTGAAATCCTGAACCTTCTGTCTGCAAAATAAGCAGCTGACTGCAATGAATTTATTTTGTTTTAGCAGAAAAATGCCATAAAACACATTTTGTTTCGTTTTAAGATTTTTCTGTGAAGCTGAAAGTTAGACTGACTCCCATTTAACCCATATATCAGTCTGTTCCTGTTTGGCTGTGACTCCATCCTGGAGAAACATTAGCTATGCTGCTGCCATCAACACCTTTGTTTATAGATGTTCGAGCTCGGCCTGTTTTTCAGAGTAGTCCTGTTTCTCTGACTATAACTGGCTGGATGTGCTCTCTTCATCCTCTGACATTGGAGCTGACTCAGAACTCGTCTGCCTGGCTGTCTGTTTCCTGGACGGAGCCGCCTTTAACAGTTGCTTTTTGTATCCCTGCTTCTTCCTCCTTGAACCCCAGTTGGCCTCAGCAGATGGCCGCTCACACCTTGCCTGGTTCTACTGGAGGTTTCTTCCTGTTAAAAGGGAGTTTTCCACTCCACTGTCGCTGCAAGCATGCTTAGTGTGACATATTGCCTTTGAGTCATCCTGCAAAAGATGTATCGATCCAATGTTGATATTGAAGAAAATTCTAGATTGGTTGTTGGTTAATAATGGCATTGGCAATTAGCTCCATTTCCATAAAAAATTTGAAGTTAGGTAAAAAAATCTCTATAATAGCCGAAAAATGTAGCCCTTTATGGGAATATGTCTTTTATTCAATAAATACAGTCAGTATCTATTTTCAGGATGTGATTTGTATGACTGACTGTTTTTATGGCTTCCTGTTCTGACCTCATACCAATATAGTTTCCTTTCATGATACACATGTGCACATAGAGCCTTCTTGCTTGTAGAGCGGAATTTGTTACAGCCTCCAAAAATAAAACAGCTAATGATGACAACATTAAAGCAAACAGATGTTTTGGTAGTGGAGTTTTTTTAATCACACCCTGAGCTCACACCTTTATTAAACTGTCATTTAGTGGCTAAAACTTTCTGATGTCATTAAGAGTAAAAGACAAACTGATCTGACTGCTGCACCCCTCTGTCTGCATGACGCAACATGATGTCTTTGTTGAGTGCAGTCAGTGTGGGGAAAGATTAGTCTAGCAGGTCAAGTGGGAAACTTTAAACCCACTGAATTTTTAACATTACTCACGTTAGTAATGACTCGATACCAGCAAAGAAAGAAAAGGAAACCATAAGTGGATTTAATAGATGAGTCTTCATCTAAAGGGACTTTCAGTTTCACTTCCAGACAAATCTGAGATCATATCCAAGCTGCCTGATGATCAGCCTCATTAATGAACACTGGCCTGTTTCCGGATCTCAGCCGTAACTTTGACAGAACAATGTTATCACCGGCTGATAAGGAATGCACGTTCAGAGCCTGCTGTTTGGAAACGTCTTGGAAGGACGGGAACTTTTCCTTTAAAGCTTGCTGAGGCCGTCCTTATCTGACTGAGTAAGCAAAAAGGAAGAGAGCTGTTAACCAATATGAAGTGCTGCTTGCATTGTCATCAGACTGCAGTTATGTAAAAAACATAAAAACCTGCTCTTCCTCAACTACTGTTTTAAAGAGTCATGATAGGAATGAAAGAGAAACAAACTTTTGACATTTTTATCAGCAGAAAAGAAGAGCGGAGTGTAGAACAGGTGGGGGAGGGGTGTGTGTTTTTTTTTTTATGGCCTGACCTCAGTGCCCGACTCAGGAATGAAGCTCTTAATCTCCACTGTTTGACCGGGAGCCGGGAATGAAGCCTCTCTCAGCTTCTGCATGAATGGGTAGATCAAGGCCATGGAGATCTGCCGCCGCTTCTCCACTTCATCAAATATCTGCACAGAAGATGTTGTTACACGCAACGTTTACATACTTTACACTGTTGCTAGGATCCTGCTTTCGTTAGTTGCTCCAATACAAGTTTCCAGGATTGGACAAAAGATATGCACTGATAATCAGGCTAAAGGAATCCCTTACCTTAGAGAAGAGGCCGAAGCAAGCCAGTGAACTGATGATACAGTAAGCCTCTGGAGGCCGAGCTCCTTTTCCTTTTGGCTAAAAGTGGGATGACAGTTTGAGAATAAGCATTTTTTTTTTTATTGTTGCAGGAAGTATTTACAATTTGAAATAATTTACGGAGTTTAAACCTCAGACTGACCAGTAACCTTCTGCAGTATCCATTTCTTCTACTGCCATCAATCTCAGTCAAAACAAAGGAGAAGGTCTCACTGCAAGTTAAAACAAAAACCTTAAATCTTTATCCAACTTTAGCCAAAATAAAACAACATGAGTTGAATGGAAGCAGTTACCTGTGATACTCTGTTAAAGGAGCCCAGTTGATGCCCTCTGGGAAACAGAATAGAGAGATGGCCTTCAGGGTCTTCTCCTCGTCCTCCTTTTGATATTTGGCCATTACATCTCTCTGAGAAGAAGCCAAGATTGGGTCAGAAACATGCCGCATAACATATACCTTTCTCTTTGTAAATTCCTTAATTCTTTGTAGAGAAGTTGCAGCAAGTCTTCTTCAGATCAGGCATCAGTTTCTAATTCGTTTGATTTGGTATCAACATTACAGTAAACAAGTATTAGCTTGTTTTGGTACAACAGCTGTTTTTTTTTTGGTATCAATCATTATCTAATTCTCTGAGAATTCACTATAAAAAAGATTTTCTTAATACCAATGCCCCTTAAGAAAGCTTTTATTCAGAGAATAGTAAGGGTCCGGGACCGGAACCTTGTGGAACACCACAGCTGTTTGGACTCCAGAGCATTTGGTTTGTAGACATGTGTTTTTCAGCACTTTTTAGACTTTTCAGCACTAAGATGCCATAAAATTTACAAACTTGGTTGACCTACTGTTATTTTCAGAGTTAAAGATTAATTAGTTGACAGAGAAGTTATTTGATCTGTAAACACGTCATAACTCATCCAAAAACAGTTTATTATGCATTCAACATATGCATGCTAAAAAATATCAAGTTTACTAGTTTTTAAAACTAGTCTGAAATGCTGGACATAAGCATCACTAGATTAAATGTATAATGTAAGAGATTAGAAAAGAAACTGGTTACCTTTGTCTCACCCTTAATGTATTTTAAACTCTTATAAATGTGTGTACAGATCAAATAATAATGTATCTATAAACTATTTATTAGTCATCAATAGGTGGAGTCTTATTAGAAAGTGGAACCAAAACAAAATATAAAAACATTATTAGATGTCTAGTAATAAAATAATTAAATAAACAACAACAGTACGAAAATAATAAAGCAATAAAAAGACAACATTACAAATGGAGTTAAAACGGGGAAAAAAGCATTTGAAGAGAAGATTTAAAAACAGGAAGTGAGTTGGACTGTCTGATTTGCAAAGACAGCTTTTTCCACAGAATGGGACTGAAAACGCTCGGTCACCTTTCGACCTCCTCTTTGACTGAGACGACCAGCGCGAACGGATCTGCAAACCTGAGTGAGCGTGGGGAGCCATGCAGCTGGAGCAGGTTGGACAGATACAGACGCGCAAGGCCATGTAAACATTTAAAGCAAATAAAGAAAAGTTCAAATTATTCTGAAAATTAATCGAAAACAAATGCAGCGATTGCAGAAATTAGTGGCATGTTTGTTGGTATCATTTCAAAACAGTGCAGATGCATTTTGAACAAGTTGAACTCAGCCTGATTTTAATAGCATTGCAGTAATCTAAAGGAGTTTTATCAAAAGCAAGAAATAAATAAAAATCTGAAATCGTTGCCGTGTAAATCATTGTTTGGCTATTTTTCTTGAATAAAAACAAAAACAGGACTTGATAACAGGTTTAATATGTGCATCCAGTTTAAGATCATTGTCCAGTCTTACAGTTTGTTGCTATTCAATCAAAACACCCAGGTCCTCAAAGCACTTGTAAGCAAACTCCCATGAACCCTAAGGTGTGCCCTGTGCATAGATGTAGTTCATCAAACATTTTTTTTATTTTGATTATTAACCACTGACACTAACGGAGCTGCTTTTCTTGTTTAATCATGAAAATAAAACGTCATACCCTATTTCAGTCCCCCACATGTAAGAGGTGCTTTGTGTGTCCTAAGGTTCTGAAATCAAGTTCTAAAGTAGATAAAGTTGAGGTTCTTAGTACGACACTATGATACTTTTACACTTTAAACAGGGTCTGAAATTAACACTCGCCAAATGCAACAACATTTTTCATTTAGCGAGTTAATGCCAGTACACCATTTGCCACAAGGAGTAAATGTTTGAACCACAGTTGCGCAGACGCAGGGGGGGGATTTAGCATTAGGCAATACCAGCAGTTGCCTAGGGCCCCAAGTTCCAGGGGGCCCCATAAAACTGTTTACATGTATGGTTAATACAACTATTCCTTATTTGTGCACATTAACAATGTTTTTCATAAAAATCCTTTTGCTAAAATGCCATCATTAAGTGTGTTATTTACTTTTGCCGTCGCCTTTTTGGAAACACAGGAAGGAGCAATCAGCTAAGTGAGCTTAGTGCTTGGAAAAAAATCTTTCATTCCTTTAGAGACAGCATGAAAAGTCAGCTGAGTACAAAACAGAGAGGAAAATAAGAAGAAAAGGAACAAGAGAGGGACAAAACCTAGAACAGATAATGGATGTCTACTCTATTAACATTTCTCTTTCTGTATAATGGGTCTGTTTTATGTGTTGTCTTCTCCATTCAGAGGGCCCCCCGCCTGTCTTTGCCTAGGGCCCCAAATTTCCTAAATCTACCCCTGTGCACATGCTAAGCTAATGAGCTGCTCAGTATGAAGCCAATATGCAAAAGAGAACAGACACGATTAATTTGCTGCTGGCTGTCAGTCGATGACACTGGAGAACATCCGTGAACACGGATGCAGTAAATGCTGCATTCACTGCATATTCATGTCTTAGTGGAAACATCCCAGGCTAAGCAACTGTGAGCGCACCGATGGCTTTATCACAAACACACAAAGATGAAGGTATTTTGCACTGCCCATGCCACTGGAAGGAAGGCTACGCTTTTATTTATGGAAAATATAACAAATGAAATCCATCTGTTGCTTTTTAAATGGTTTTATTTATGGCCACTCCAGATAAAAATATTTAGCTATTTGAATGAAATCTAAACTACAACTTTATTTAATGAAACTTCATTACCTTTTACTGTAACTTTGTCTCCATCTAACAGAAATAATATTTTTCTTAAACATATATGAGAGAAAATTGTTTTGTTTTAAATTATGCCTGGCCGGTAAATAATTTTGTCTTCCTGTCCTCATGACCGTGAGTCAAATAGGTAATTTTGGACTCTGACTGTAAGAATGCTCATTTAATATTATGAAATAAAAAAAGGTTATTAAACTTAGAGTCATTTACTTGATCATTAGTAGCTCTTCGGTAATGTGAGATCAGATAAGGACATTCCTAAAATAAAATAAACATACATTTCTATCATAATAGAGATTGTGTTCCAGTTTATTCGTGAAGTTTTCCTTTCAAAATTTTAATGAATTTTAATTAACCTGTTCAACTTAGACTAATACTGATTAAGTATCTTAGTCCCACAGTGTTAAAAACAGGCTTGTGTTGATAAGCAAACGACATGTTTAAACTTGTATTTCACAGCGTGACTCACCTTAGGAAACTGGTAGGTAATCTGAGGTTCATAGCTGCTGCCATCTTTGTTCTTTTTAAGGCTGACCACCACTAGATACTCAAAGAAGTACTGGCCACTGACCCGGCGGGGTTGCATGGACACATTGTCAACGACTGGCAGGTTCTGCTCCGCCTCAGGCTCAGGGTCTTTGACTTCTACACAGAAACACAAACATTCACTGATCTAGTGAGCTGAACTGAGATGTTAAAGATGAAAAAAAAAACACAGAGCTACAATCAGGGCATTAAAAAGAAATTATTTTTACATGCACTTCATATTCTAACAGACAAACAGGGGATTTAGACTTGATAAGACACCTTGAATAGTAAGAACAGTCACCATGTTGGATTTTTTGGGAGGTTTTCTTGCTTGCCGGTGAATAAATGTGAATGTGCTCAGTTATGGAAACCAGCAGAGCAGATTTAGATCAAGGTTTGATTGACACATTGCGTTAGCATCACATTAGATCTTTGCATGTCTCAGTTTGAGCCTCTGGCTCTTGAGGATTGAAGATTGTTGAAAAAGATCTGATGAGTTGCAAAATAGCATTTGCACATCATCATCCATATTAGTAGGAATATTTAGACTATAAGAACCTAAACAGTGAGTTTATAACAAGCTCAAATGTTTATGCTATGCATATTTAATCAAACATTTTAAAAAAGCTATAGTGTTTTTAAAGTTGCTAAGCACTACATGGAATGTTTGGGGGTATTTTTATTACGGTCATTATAAATGAATGTGCTTGTTACATCCCAATATTACCTGCCTATCAAGTGTCAAGACTAATGTTTTTCTAAGCAGTTTATCTAATTAGGTCAGTTCTTCTGTCATGATAAAAAGTTATCATCTTCATTATGTACATAACAAAGATTTGGGTATGAAATGGGAGCGCAGACAGAGCGGATTATTGCTAACAGAGAGCTCTGTCACTCTAGCCTGACTCTGCCAGATGGATTTGCTCCGCATATCCATCTGGAAACCTTCCGTTGAAGTAATTTTGGGAAGGTGCGAAAATACTGGTTAGCTGATTGGCCTATGTTGGTGATAGATGGGCCAAATAAACCAATCAGATCAACGAAGCATATGACGTAACAGAGCGACGACGAAGAGGAGCCAATTGATAGA